TCCGCAATTAATAAAAGCCATAGACGTAAAGAAAAGTACCGAATTAAACAAATACCTCACCCGTCCTGATCTTTCCCAACTTCTCATTCTCATCTGTCTATTCTGTCATTTAAAAACTGTCTCTTATAACTAACATGATGTTTGCTCCGTCAGATCTCAAAAAACTACAGTTACAAATACAAGAGGCCACTGAGGTAGAGCCGCCGGGAGAAAATGACAAGGATAAGAATAAGACCATAGAAGTATATAGGGAATACACACAAGCGGCACAGCTAAGGAAATTTGCCATAGAGGGGTACACGTACAGCAATGGCAAGCCACTTACATGCAAACTGCCTTTAAAGACCACAAAGTAGAGCAGATGTTAACTGAACACCAACAAAGAACGGTGCGCCTAGCTGCACAGGCACAATCAGACGCAACAGGAGCGTTGATGGTATTGGAAGCAAATATTAAGCAAACAAAGATGAATCTGAACGAATATATAAAACTAGAACTAGGCGACACACTACCAACACAACAAACCAGCCCTCCAGCACCCCTCACCAGCAATCCGTCAATACTTAATACCACACCAAAATACTCAGGGAACTTTGCAAAGTGGCCAGCCTTTTGGACTGCCTTCCGGCCATAAACAGACTCAAATCGAAACATCCCTAAAGTGCAAAAACTGAACTGCGTGATATCCTTTCTAGAAAGCGACGCCAAAAAATGTGTACAGGGATACGCAGGGGTACAAAATAACCATGAACTGCTAAAAGACCTCTTGAAGAACCGTTTTGATAGACCGGAGGAGGCGACACGACGTTTAACACTCGAGCTGAGACAAATGCCTCCAGCCTTTAAGAGTACGACAACAACGACTTTAGAAAACCTCTTGAGAATCCTAACACAGTTGGAGACCTTCAGCACAGATGTCGATAACAAATTAATTCTCAATTTTGTAGAGTCCAAACTACCCTTTCAAATGCTTACCGAAAACTGTTGCGAAAGGGACAGAGGAAGCACACTGTCGTTAGCGTAACTGCGAGGCCTTATACAGAATGCCTTAAACGGCTACACATATGCTCAAACAGTGTTGGAATCTGAGAAGCCTTTATGAAGTAAGCCGAATTATCAATCATCTAAAACAAAAGGAGATCAGGAACTAACATCAGCTTTCAACACTCAAGAAGCAAAACCGTTAAAGCGCAACATTGAAAAAAAGCAACCCTTAAAAGCTTATCAAAACGGCCAGGCAAGCGGTGCGCATTTTGTCAGGAAGACCACTTTAGCCAGCAATATAAGTACGACACGGCGCTACTAAGAGAAGAACAAGTTAGCAAATTATGACTATGCAAAAACTATCTTAGGAATAATTATAATACCAAAGACTGCAAACTACCACAAAAACAGTGCTACTTTTGCAGAGAATCACATAACTCTACCCGTTGTAAACGCCACTTTCCAGCAAAGGCCGAAACGGTCAACTGCGTTCAGCGTAGGACTCACAATTGGCCACCCGCAGCGGACGTCACCTTACTCATGTATGATTACTCATGTACGTCACCTTACTCAAATATATGATTAAAGTCTTTGAATGAAAGACTAGTGACGCATTCCAGATGAACAGCTCTAGTTGCTAGACATGTGATTGAACATATCCACCTCTTCTGAACTGAATTATCTTTACTAGTACAGGTTCCAAATAATCCACCCCAATGTGCTGGAAGGATCTTGAGGGTGTTACGCGTTCGGCTGGTGGTGTTGGCAATGGTGGTGGCCTAAATGGTTTTGCACTCCATCTCCTACACCCATGGCAGTCCCTTTTTATTATCTTCTTGACTGTTTGTCTCCCTTTGGGCAGACAATACTCTTGCCGTAGTTTGCTTGGTACTAGGCTTACTCCTCCGAGGATTGATTGCACATGGTACTGCAATATTATCGAATGTGTAATATGGT